TACCATCAAGAAGTTTAATGTAACGAAGTTTCTAATTCCCCTTCTCTAAAGAGGAAATAGTAAATACCTACTAGGAGAACCACTAAATACCTTTTGGTAGTTACTTAATGGAGTATTAAAGAGCTCTTAAGGCAGATAAACTAGAGTTTTACAGATGTCCATCGGCATATTTTACAGTCATATGTGAAATCATAGTATATGTTTAAGGCACCATAGCAGCTGTATAAAATGTAATGTTCATAACTATGTATCATACACATTTGCATTCGGGATGGATATAAGTGTGCTTGGGGATCACAAACAATACGCAGAATAATTACCTCTCAGGAGTGGAGGAGAGGAACTGAGTTGAGGGATGAGAAGTCCATATCTTTAATGTAAGTTTCAGTGGTACTTAATTGAGGTACATGCTGATATTTTAGACATTTTATTGAAATACTTGATAATTAACAGTTCTGAAGGAAATGATTCTATGTGCCTATGTACACCAGGATAACTGCATACATTTGCATACATTCTGGGCATTTGATTTCCCAAATAGTGTTAGTTTATTTTCCCTCGTGTTCTGGCTATGGCTGGAAGTCTCAGATGCATCTTTTCTTTCCGAAAGAGCGTCTGCTTTTCTCCCATCTGCTTCACTGCAGAGGAAATGCTTCTCCAGAGAAGAGAGTGCACATGGCCGATGGCAATGCAGCTTGTGCCAAATGTGATGGTTATGATGATTATTCCTTAGCTGAGAAATTTGGTTGTGTTTTTCTCTTAAGCTGTTGCCTGGAAAGTGGATTACAGATATGACTCTCCTTAACAGACTGTTGTCTGTGGCAGTCTGTCTGTACTTCCCACATACTCTTTTGCTGAATACAGTGCATGTGCGTTGACCCCACATGCCCTCTCCATTATCTTCTGATTGACATCTGATCAGCATTTCTCTAGAAGTGACACTAGAAATCTCATGTGTACAAACCCAAATTTGTAACAACGTCGTTAAGTCATCTCTTAAAAATCAGCTGCTTTTAAACAGCAGAGCAGTTCCTTAGGACATTAAAAATAGATTCCCAGCAGGATCCAGCAATCTTCCTTCTGGCTGTGTATGCAAAAGGAGCAAGACATGAAAGAAATGTTTGTATGCCTGTGTTTCTAGGAAACATGATAGCCGAAAAGTAGGAGAGGCAAAGATGTGTGTTGATGGAGAGTGAGTGTTACATACAAATGATGGGATATTAGTCAGTCATAAAGGAGATTCTTCCACATGCGGCACTGTGGGTTATCCTTGGTTAATTACCGTGATTGCCCTTTCAAGCCATTCTGTGCCATCCTTGACCTGTGATTTTGTTCTGCAGAGGGACTTAATTTCCTTTAAACCTTGTATAGGAAGTTGGACATTAAATTTGGTTTTCAGATACATACTTTTATATAACTGAAATAAATAGACATTATTTAGAGTTATGAGATTCATATTTTACATTATATCTGTGCTAGTTTGTGGTAAATTAGAACATCAGAGTAATTTTCACTACAAGTATTTTTAAACTGATTTTTTTTTTTTTTTTTTTTGGTTTTTTGAGACAGGGTTTCTCTCTGTGTAACCCTGGCTGTCCTGGAACTCACTCTGTAGACCAGGCTAGCCTCAAACTCAGAAATCCGCCTGCCTCTGCCTCCCAAGCGCTGGGATTAAAGGCGTGCGCCACCACCGCCCAGCCCTTAAACTGAATTCTTACCTATGCTGTGTAAAGCCGCATAGATTCCAAAATGCTTTTAAACATAAAAACACACTCGCCCCTGGCCCCTGCCCCCTGCCACAGTCCTACAATACTGCTTCCTTTTCTTAAAGCTTTGCCTTCTGGAATTTAGTTAAAAATTCAGTTATACTTAAAACTAAATTTTAATTTTTCCAAAGCATATGACTCTTAGCTTACTAATGGATGTCCTCCAGCACTTTAAATAGATCAACTTTGTTGGGAGTACAAACTACTCACTCATTAAAACTTCTTTAAAAGTCACTTAAAATATGACCTTATAAAATCCTCTTGCAATTAGTGAGCTTGAAGGATAGGCCCTGCCCCCTTTAAACAGCACTGCCTGTGGACCCTCCAGATAAATTCTAACATGTTAATCAGCTATTATATACAACCAGCAGTTTTAAAGTTTGCATTTGGACCTGGTGTGGGTCAAGCTGTTCATCCCATATACTTACTATGTCACAGGAAGCCCTCCATCCCATACACTTACAGCGGATGTCACTGGAAGTTCTCTATGCCATCTACTTATCAGATGGCATATTATTTTACTTATTTCAGAATTACTTTCATCTGAGCTGTAATCATTCCTTATCACGCTGGGGAAAGAGGCAATTTGGGAGAAGAGCAGAGAGACCATGTTCACACCAGGGCTTTGTGGAGATTTTTATCTAGGAATCTTAAATCGATAGGAAATCAGCAATGTTGCATCTTGTAAGGCATTAGCTGTAGAGCAAATTAAACAAATTCTTGTAACATCCACTCCCACCCCCACCCATCTAGCCTCTGATTGTTGTATGTCAAAGGGAAAAGAAAAGGCAGGCTGCACAGGAACTGGAAGGTGCCATTTCATCCCTGGGTTGACACCACTCCAGGCGTAGGGGCAGGAGGATCGGCAGTTCAAGGCCATCCTTGGCTGTATAGTAAATTTGAGACCAGTTTGGGTTAGGTTGGGATTCTGTCCCAAAATACAAAGAAACAAACTACACTTGACCATTAAGTGGTTGCAGAACATGGTTCTTTGTCTCTCCACTAAGGCCCAAAATAACATTCTCTTCTCATTTCTGGGTCAAAGTGAACTTTTTGCTTTAGATCCGTGATTGTATTGAAGTTGATTGTATTGAAGTTCTTTTTCAAACACCCCTTTGATTCTCTCTTCTATATATGGCTCTAGGTGAACTGTCTTCCTTGGTTCCCAGAGGTTGCACTTGTTGATATTTTTTGTGAGCCGCTCCTTTCAGAATACCCACCCACCGCCATACCACCTTTGTAGTTTCCTCTCCTCTGCACAGCTCGGTAGCTGACCTCCAGAATGTCGTCTCAGAGAAACGGTAGCTCATACCATCTGTGTCTTTCTCCTGCCTCTCAGCATGCATGTCCCTTTATAGTTGTTCATGATCTTATTGCCATAATAAAATATCTAACAAGAAGCAAGTTGTGAGAGAAAGGACTGAAGTGAGCTTGTGATTTGAGGGGATGATTCATCATTGCTGAAGGTAGTTCATGGTGGTGGGAGTGTGGGGCTAGGAATTCTCACAGCTGCAGGGCAGCAACGGATAGAAAAATAGATATGCAGATAGGTGGGTAGGTAGATGATGGTGATGATGATAAGATAGATGATGATGGTGATGACAGACAGACAGACAGACAGACGGGTGGATAGATAACAGAAAGAAGTAGAGTGGAATGTAGCCCCTGAGAGTCACTCTCCAGTGACTTACTTCTTCCATCTAGTCCCTGTCTCCTAAAGCTTTCACAGCCTCTTGAAACGGGTACCACCCCAAGGACCAAGTTTTTAAACACATGAGCTAGGAGGGGCTGTTTCACACTCAAACCATACAGGATATGTATGTGCCTACATGTTCACACATATGTTGTTTTAAAACTGTAAAAATGTTTATTTAAAACAAAGTCTTTCTTTCTTTCTTTCTTTTTTGGTTTTTTGAGACAGGGTTTCTCTGTAGTCCGGGCTGTCCTGGAACTCAGAAATCCGCCTGCCTCTGCCTCCCAAGTGCTGGGATTAAAGGCGTGCGCCACCACTTCCCGGATGGAACAAAGTCTTTACTCATGCCTAGGATGGCCAAGAACTTGCTGCGTATCTCAGGCTAGCCTAAATGTATGGCAAATCTCCTGAATTAGCCTCCTGAGTGCTGGGATTAGAGGTGCGAGCCTGGCTTGCAAGTGCTTTGTGCTCCCCCTGTGCTCTGCTGGGCTCTGTGTCTCTGCTCCCACCTTGCTGGATCTAGCTGCTCCCCTTAGCCAGATGGACTCTCCAGAAAGAAGCCACAAATGCCTTATATTTCCTGTTTCCATGACAACATACACACCATCTTCCCTAATACGCAGTTTCATTTTCTATTCTCTAAATCATGATTCCCTCACCACCAGTGAAGCTAGTGTACCCCAGCTTCCCACATCCTCTCCCCAGTGCCTGCAGTTATTTTAATGTCTGCGAATAGGAGTAGTGGTGGATATCTTTTAATAAGAACTTTGGTGTGGAAAGCTGTATGTCTCAATCATTTTCACGAGCTCATTCCTTACAATATAGGAAACAGGGATATTGTCCATGTGATGTATTTATCCCATTACATGTCTCATAGGAAAAAACACCTAAATTACACTCACTTTTATTGTCAGATGTCCTTATTATCTATCTGTGTGTGAGGTTGCCATTGGCCAAAATAGCCTTTATTACCTGCAGCTCCCCAACATGCTGTGCCCTGCTTGTTATCCCGGGTGAGAGACCGTGCTTACAGAAGTGTATCTGCTTTCCCCACAGTAGCTTTTAGGCACTCTGTTTAGGGATCTGTACAAGCTTGTGTTGTGTATGTGTGCTGGTACTGTGTATGCTTGTGTTGTTGTACAGTAGGCTTGTATTGTTGTGTGTGCTTGTATTGTTATTTGTGCTTGTATTGTGCGTGCTTGTGGTGTTGTGTGTGCTTGTGTTGTTGTGTGTGCCTGTGATGTTGTGTGTGCCTGTGCTGTTGTGTGTGCTTGTGCTGTTGTGTGTGCTTGTGTCAATTCTGTGTAGTTGTGTTGTTACTATCCACACAACACTTTGAGTTCTCGTATACATTTTTCATATGCAGAAACTTAAATATGTAATTTCTGATTGCAAACATAAATGTTTTTACAATGTTTCTCTGACATTTCTGATTGCTAATATAAATGTTAATACAAATTTACCTGCATACAATGTTTAGTAAGAGCCACAGGCTTTTGTTATAACATTTACTAAGACTGTTTTTCTCTTATTTTTTTTAGGAAATCATTTGCCAGAAGAATACTGTGAGTATTTGGCTTAACTTTCCAAAACTTTTTGAATCTTTTCTTTTCTATTAATTAATGTTATTTTTAAATCTGCACAGGTTGTCAATTTTTTATTTTTTTTGCTCCTTTGTAGGGCTTCTCATATGTCTGTGCAAACACAATTATGTTCTCTAACTAACCCATAATAGTGAAATAACAATGGAAGATAACACTAATATTTACTTTTTGAATATATAATTATGTTTTAGAAAACACTTTCACAGTACATTCAGTGTTACAGAACTGTAATTGGCAATATCAAGTCATATAACAAAGTAATATATATGTGTATATATATTATCCATATGTATGTCAATATCTATGGATATAACTATATACATGTATATAATATATAACTTATGATATACCAATATATATGAATATATACATATATGTGTATGTATATAGTATATAAATATATATAGTATGTAATGTCTGTTTGTCTATCATGTATCTTCTATTTTGAGGCATTCAGTCAGATTCTTAAGCCTTTTGTTTTTGTTTTTAACGGTGCTGGGACTGAACCCATGGTCATGTACTTGTTAGGCAAGTATTCTGCCACTGAGCCAAATCCCCAAGCCCTTTCTCTGTGCACTGAAATCCTTCCTTGAGATCACATTCCAGAACACTAACCCCTCCTACAGAATTAAATTAATATAAAACCCAGAGATATTTAATATTTTGCATTTAAAAAGACTGCATAGAAAATGTTGAGCTATTACTGTAGAAACGGGAACAGCCCAGTGGGCCAGTGGTATATTTTCTCTTGAGAAGTTAAGGCAGTGTTTAAGAGCCCTAAAATCCAGGTATACATCTACAATTCAGAATGAGAATAATATATGACATAAGACCACACATGGTTCCACATGACATGCGAGATTAACGTTATAGTTGGTGGGTTTAAGATTTCACCATGAGGAAGACAGTGGACAATGTGCACTGTGAACTCTTCTCTCACATTTCATCAGGAATGAACACGTCTATTCCATGCTCTGGTGAGTGTAACACATTTTATTCAGCAGGTGTTAACTGAACATGAACTGTGTGCCAGGCTCGGGCTTGGTGCCTACCCAGGAGACTCACACTGGTGCTTGAGAATAAACCAGTGGGTGTATAAGAGTTGTGTGAGATGAAACAGTGGGGATACTAGGGTGTGGGTGTGTGTCAGGACAAGTAGACAAAAAATCAAACAGATGCACCGAGGCCAGGAGCTTGATCTAAGGTTGATGTCACCTCACCTGTAAAGTGGCACTAGGAGCCACTGCATGTTGTAGTCATGTAAGCACTGAGGCTGTGGTGCCAGTAAGGCCATGCTTACCTTCTTTCATCCAAGTACTGAGTTAATGTCTGCTCTTGTCAGTCAGGGCAGAACACTAAGAGAGCATATACCCTCCTTGTTCTCCTGAGGCTGGGACTCCTGCTGTCCTCCAGGAGACATGGCCGTCTACTGCTCAGCCCTTTGCATATGCTTTTCTTTATGGGTTTTCCCTCAGAGGTCCCTGACATTTCATTCCATTCTATCAAATCGTGCCCTGATCTGTGTTTACATTCCCATATTCCAAATCCCTCTTGGTCTTTAGAAGGCAATCTATACTCCTTCCAAGTGAGCGCTCCATTCCAGCCCACTACAAGTTTCAGTTTCTTGAAGGCCTTCTCAAGGTTTAGCTGGAGATGGGGTTCTGTGTGGGGTTTGTTGCCTGCAGTTCCTCAGAGAGCAGCGAGCTTCCAGTGAGGCTGCAGTCTTGCTTTCTGTTAATGTAACCATCCTTTTAAAGACGCCCCTCTTGGATTCACCTTCAGCCCTTCTCCTTCGTCCCATGCATTCAACTGTTTCCCCAACCCCAGTGGTTCTTCTGGGTGCCGAGCTCATGACTCCTTACAGTTCTGCGTTGCCACAACTCCAATCTGGTTATGTCACATAGCCTTCTGCCTCATCTCCTTAAATCTTGGCTCTTGCTCTTACAGTCTACTCAGTTGTCTACCCAGAATGCCACTGCTGTTTTGTCTTCCCTGCCCTAGACCCTCTGTTCACTCTGTACTGCTCAGAATATGTAGTTGGAAACCTTTAGCTTACCTTCTGGTCCCTTCCCTGGGCTCAAAACTGCAGTCAGATTTGCTTACACAGGGGTCTACAGTCCAGTTCCCTTTGTCATCTCCTCAACAGTGCTTTTGTTGGCACAAATATCCCTTTATTTGGCATAATCTGGAAGTTGCTAGGTCAGCCAACCCTGGTCTCAGTGACTGATGGGAGAGGGCACAAGTTGCAGCCAGCAAAGGGCAGGGTGGCAGAAGTCGGTCAGGAGCCTGTGGACAGCAGCGTGAGCCTCGCCAGCATCACAGGCTCTCCTGTGGGGCTTCATGCAGCTGGAGGAGCTGCTGTGACTAGATGGTAGTGACTAGGGGCAGGGTAGAGAGGATAGCAGGTGGTCAGTGTGGAGGTGAGTGTGTAACAGGGAAGCCGAGTGGAACAGGAAAACCGTTGCAGAGACTCGAGCAGGTGTAAGGTGTGTGGTCCTCCTTGCTAGCAGAGTGGAGGCAGACAGGCAAATCTGAGATTGTACAGCAGGAAGAGCTAGGGTATGACAGACTTGGGTTTTAGTGAGTGGGAGACGACGTAGTGTGGACCTGGGAAGAGGCAGCTGTGTCCTGGGGCTGCTCTGGCCTTCCCAGCGAAGCCCTCAAGCTCCAGGGAAACTCTTCAGCTCTCAGCATTGTGCTCTCCTTCTATTGGACCTGAATTTCTGATTCCCCGGAGGCTGGAAGTTACGCTTAAACTATTCTTGTTTTAGTACGTATCCTAGTAGCAACGTGTGACAGTACATACATATTTAATGGCTGATAAAAGATACTTTATCACTTGCGAGTCCTAATTATACTGAAGTAACCAATTAAGGAAGTTGGAAAATTCTGTTTTCATGGGCCATCAATAAGAAATGAATCTCTTCTGTTTCCCTTTGCACTCACAATTATTATTGAAAATAATAACTTTAGTCACTGATACACGACCTGGCATTCTTTTGCCAGTGTAGTGTCCCCTGGGCAAGCTCCCTACTGCCTGGTGCCTCCTGTCTCCACAGGTGTGCACTGGGAACTACACCTTCATTCCCTACATGGTGACACCACACAACAAGGTCTACTGCTGTGACAGCAGCTTCATGAAGGGCCTGACAGAGCTCATGCAGCCCAACTTCGAGCTCCTGCTGGGGCCCATCTGCTTACCTCTTGTGGACCGTTTTGTTCAGCTTTTGAAGGTGGCGCAAGCGAGTTCCAGGTAACACTTTGTGCCCACAGTGGGTGATGAGCGGGCATTGCCGATCTGCTTTGTGTATCTTGCCACATGTTCCTACTTAAGGAACAATTTGCAGTATCTTCTGAGTGGGGGAGAAAAATGTGTCATTTTATTTCACAAGTTAAACCTTGTTCACTTGGTTTATAAAAAATGGCCCCTAGCCGAGCAGTGGTGGCACACACCTTTAATCCCAGCACTTGGGAGGCAGAGGCAGGTGGATTTCTGAGTTCGAGGCCAGCCTGGTCTACAGAGTGAGTTCCAGGACAGCCAGGGCTATACAGAGAAACACTGTCTCAAAAAACTAAAAAAAGGAAAAAAAGAAAAACAAACAAAAAGGCCTCTAATCTATTGTTTTATAATAATGACAAAGATATGTATGTATGTTTGTGTATATATATATATACATATATATACATATTTATAAGTATTTATATTTCTTTTACTTATTTTTAAGAAAATTTAATTATATATAATTTTATTTATAAATATATACATATGCTTTAAAGAAATATATATATATATATATATACACACACACACACACACACACTCTCACACACACAATCAATTACGGCTACCTCAGAATAAATGTCCAGGGACTTTTAGTGTAAGAGCCAAAACTTCTTAAAAATTTCTAAGAACATAATTTAGTTAAGAATAATCCCTGGAGGGCTGGAGAGATGGCTCAGAGGTTAAGAACACTGCCTGCTCTTCCAGAGGACTTGAGTTCAATTCCGAGCAACCACATGGTGGCTCACAACCATCTGTAAGGGGATCTGAGGCACTCTTCTGGTGTGTCTGAAAACAGTGACAGTGTACTCATATAAATAAAAGTAAATAATTCTTAGAAGAAGAAGAGGAAGAAGAGGAGGAGGAAGAAGAGGAGGAGGAGGCGGAGGAGGCGGCGGCAGCAGCAACAGCATCCCTGGGCCAGTGAAATAGTTCAGTGACAAGTACTTGCTGCCAATCCTGACAGCTTGAGTTGAGGCCCCAAAGTTTAGATGGTGGAGAGAGAAGAGTGATTCCTGTAAAGTTGGCCTCTGACGGCCATACCCATGACTGGGCACACACAGAAGCACACATACATGCTCTAAGTCAGAAATGTAAAATACTCTTCTTTATTCAAATAGCTCTGGCTGCCCTGGAACTTTCTATGCAGTTACAAATTCCTTTTGGAGGTGGGCTTCCAATACTCAGAGATTCACCTGCCTCTGCCTGCTGAGTGTTGGGATTATAAGCATGTGCCACCATGCCCAGCAAATGTGATTTTTTAAAAAAGAATAATCAGTTGTTTATGTTACTGGGAAGTGATACTGAGCTAGAGCTAAGGTTGTATTGTAGCCAGATCATGGGCCTGTCTAAATTATTTGGAATAATTAGCACTCAAACTAGTAAGATGAAAAATAAAGTTTGGATATTTTTTGAAATATGGCAGAAATCTAAATGAAATACATGAACTTCCAAATTTTTTAATAATGCCAGATACGCAAGGTATCAGCATATCTTAATGGGCTGAAAACTACTTGTGGACAAATGTCATGCATTTCCTCATAAAAGTACATGTATTTTGGTGAATCCCTCGCTTTCTAGAGTTAACTCTTTGAAATGTGTGGTTTTTCACCAGCCAGTACTTCCGGGAATCTATACTCAATGATATCAGGAAAGCTCGAAATCTCTACACTGGTAAAGAGTTGGCAGCTGAATTGGCCAGGATCCGGCAGCGGGTAGACAATATTGAAGTTTTGACTGCAGACATTGTTATCAACCTGTTGCTTTCCTACAGAGATATCCAGGTGAGAGGATACTCAGTGTCCCTCAGGTATGGTGCTGGAGGAGGGAGGGATGCGGGCGTTGAATTTCAGCCAGGTAATAAGTAATCCATGTTGCTGCATAGAACTGACTGCTACCTTTCCACTCTGTGACTTCATGGCGAATGGACGAGGCTCGCAGATGTAACTGTCGGGATTATGACATACACCTGTTTACTCTTCCTCAAAAACTCCTCACATGCTCAGCTCTTGGAGAGCTGATCTCCTCAGTGAGCTTCGGGCACACCTGTCAGTCAGCCAGTGAGAGCTTTGTTTTGGCAAACAGCAGAGATTCTTAGATATTTCTGGATCTATCTTCCTGTAATTATGCTACTGAAACCAATAATGCCAAGAACAAGAAATATACAACCAATTCTTTGTAAAGTAGTGGTGGACCCACGGACATACTGCTTCATTTCTACTGCGAGGTCTTAGGCTGTTTAAGATCTAGCAAGTAGAATAAAATCTTTCAGTGAGGGGTATGGGGTTAGCATTGTATCACAAAATCCAGGTAACTCCTGGCTTCTTGTTCCTGTATCCAGCCTCTTGGCCCTGTGTAAAACTTCACCCGTGATAGAGGCTCAGTACCCGGTGTACCATAGCAGTTAGTAGCCTGTGGCTGGAGGAAACTCACTCAATGTGACATGGAATAATCTTGCTACTTACAACAGAATTTCAGTCAGTTGCTCAATGACCTTCAAACTTTTAATGTCCTGGATGGAAGCCTGCAGACCAAGAGCTACGTGAGAAGAGCCAGTCATGTGTCTGTTGTTTATCTGTTTTGTTTCTTCGGGTTTTGTCAAATACTGGAACTTTATTTTTCATGCCTTAATCCATGTAATAGGAATTTAGGAGAAACACAGCTGTTGTTTCTAGGATTTTCAGAGGTCTCAACAAAAAATTTTTTTTCTAACATAATAGTTTTATTGACTATTTGGGAATTTCACATAATGCACCACAGTCACTCACTTCCTAGTCCTCCCAGGTCCATACCCCACCCCTTGTGACCTCCCCCCCCAAAAAAAAAGAAAAAAAGAAAAAATATATATACTAAGTATTTTGTGTGGCCCATATAATCATTGGAACATGGCTAACTCCCTTAAAGAAACCTGAGTTTTTCCCCACCCCACCCCCACCAGAAGCCATCAGCTTTGAAGAGCTACACTTGAGCATCCCCATCACAACTCTTAAGAGCTCTCTTCAATGGCTTCTGGTCTAAACTGTTTGCAGTGTGCGTTCGTGTGTGTGTGTGTGTGTGTGTGTGTGTGTGTGTGTGTGCGCACATGTGTGTGTGCGTATGTGCATGCGTGTGTGCATGTGTGTATTGGTGGGGTTCTGCTACAGATGCCTTCTATGTCCCTCAACAATTCTAACTTTACCGTTAATCCTTTTCTTGGTGTTAGATGCCTAGCTGTCTTTTTGGAGATTTCTCCTCAGGGTTTAATTCCGTGCTGTTTGTTTGTGTTGAAAGGACTATGACTCCATCGTGAAGCTGGTAGAGACTTTAGAAAAACTTCCAACCTTTGACTTGGCCTCGCACCACCACGTGAAGTTTCATTATGCGTTTGCACTGAACAGGTAAGATATTCCCTCCTGGGATGCTCTGATGACTCTTACAGACACCACTGTAACTTCCCAGTGGCTTCCAGCTAGAATATTGTTGCGCTGTATCTACCTCAGCCATGAGGTACTGTAAGCACACCTTCTGACCTCTCTCTGGGTTGGTTTGTTTGGGGACAGGGTCTCACTGTGTATCTCAGGCTGGCCTGAACTTTTGATCCTCCTACATCTGTTTTTTGATGGCTGTTATTATTGCCAGCCTCCAAGTGTGTGGTGTGTGTGTGTGTGTGTGTTCTCTGTCTCTCTGTTAGTAAAAGCCTCTCGTTGTATTTGTAGATACACTTTTTTATAATTCTTTTTTTCCATGACAGAGCTTGTGTTTTATATTTTATAACATTCAGTGTTTTATCAATATGGTACTACTTCTAAGCAAATATAGTTGTCCTTAGGTATTTATTCAAACTTCGTTGCAATCTCTTTAAAGGTACCCAGATCCAATATTCAAGTCCTTATATGATGATATAGGATTTCATGTAACAATCACACATTCTCTATATATTTAAAGCAATCTCTAGATAACTGTGGTATCCTACATAATATAATGCTATGTAGATGGTTGTTATTCAGGGGAAAAATCTGTGCATGTTCAGTATAGACATTTCCCCAATATTTTCAATGCATAGTTGATTGAGCCTGGGACTGAAACTTCACAAGTCCATAAGACAACGTCAGTATCATCTGTCGCTTCACATACTGATTCATTGAAGTATGAGGATAGTTTTGAGGAAGTGAATGTTTTTCCTCATCCAGAGACAGCTTTCCTGAGGACTGCTGGGAGCACAGTTAGTTATGACCAAAACTCTGCCAGTAACATTATAAATTGTGTGCTCACAAGCCTGTCTGAGTCACTTTTGACAGAGCTTGTCTTAATCCTCACTCTGTCTTCTGCCTACATCATACCACACGTCAGTGTGGCTTCTCAGCTACGGTCATCATGGAGGGTCATCCATGCTCTAACCACGGATGGAACCAGAGTCCTGAGTAGTCAAAATACTTAGCCCTACTGCTCTCTCCTTTATGGTAGGATGGTTGAGTATACATGTTGCTGCAGAAGAAAATTACTTTTTTAAAAAAGAAGACATCTAATTCATATAGAACTCACTGTGTATTATAGTTTCCTTCACTTTACAGCTGAGGCCCCTGCAGATTGAAAAGGCTGAGTAATTGTCCCTGAAGGCTCCCAGTGGATACGTGCTGTCCTAGAAAGCCAGCATGACGTTCAGCTAGAACTGATGTGTTTCCTTCCCTACCCAACAAGCTCTCCCTAGAGAGCTTGCCAACTTCACCAACAGTTGTAGACTGTGTAGATGGAGAGCCATTTTGTCTTTCATTTATTAAACATCCTTTACATCTGGTAGACTTAGATGAGACCTCCAGAGCTTACCTGCTCTTTGTCAAACACATCACACACCCTGCTTTTTAAAGTAAAATGTATTTTGAAACAAGCTGAGAAAAATCCTAGGAATCTCTTAGGATTTTACTTTGTGTGTCTTGCCTCTCTTTCAAAAGTAACATAATGGAATGAAAAGCATATTTGTATAAAGCAATATTCTAAACTCAAGACATTTAGGTAAAGATAGAATTTATGAACAAAAATTTAAAATAGTAATTGTGAGAATGGCAATATACACAATTTTTAAAATAATTTTATTTGACATATACTTCATATATAACTTAGTCATTTAAAATATCCTATATCTTTGATTTTAGTATATTAATTGAATTATATAACTGTCATTCCCACAAATTATAGAGTATTTTTTCACCCTACAAGGGAACCTTCTACCCATTAGCAGTTGCCCTTCCCCATAGCACAAATCCTCCTGCTCCTGGCAAACACTAACGTGCTTCTGTCTGTATTGATTGTTCTATTTTAAATATTTCTCATAAGTGGAATTATACTGTTTTCAGCCTCTTTGTGACTTTATTTTTTCAGTTAGCATAATATTTTCATCATTGAAGAAATGTAAAGTATGATTTTGAGAACCATCCACAACTATTGGAGTTCCTGATAACTCAGTGAGTTCCTGTCTCAAAATTCAAAGTGAAAAATGAAGTCGGGACATAGCTCAGTGCTTGTCTCACATGCCTGTGGTCTCACCTCTAGGCCAGTACCATACAAACTACATGAGACCACATCCACAGATGTTCAGCAACATGGAAAAACCAGTGAATTCTTGGGTGGATTTGAATTTTGGAATTATCTATAAATAATTTTTTTCATTGTTTTGGAACAAAAGCCATTGAAAACTAACATCAAGAGTTTCTCCTTATTTATAATAGTTGATCCTGGTTCATTCAGGGTCACAGGGTACACACTCAATAGAATTCTACCATCTTGAACCTGTTCATAGGCCACAGGGAGAGCAAGTCTCTGGTAGCTACAAATCCATCTTCCACTCACACCTCACAAGAGATCCTTGACAGACCCAGTAGACATGTATCAAGATAAGAAAATATAGGACAAGGTTCATAGAGGAATCCCAAAATCTAACTATTTTTATTCTGCCAAACTTTACTGGTGCAAATCAATACATGAAATAGGCAATTGATCTATAATTGCTTTTATGATCTATATGAAAACCATGCTCTCTACTTTAGGAGAAATCTCCCTGGAGACAGAGCAAAAGCTCTTGACATCATGATCCCCATGGTACAAAGTGAAGAGCAAGTCGCTTCAGATATGTATTGTCTGGTTGGCCGAATCTACAAAGATATGTTTTTGGATTCAAATTTTACTGACACTGAAAGCAGGGACCATGGAGCATCTTGGTAAGACTGGAGGATGGGAAGTATCTTCTCGCTCCCAAAGTCCGTGATGCACGAAACTGTGCAGATGAGAGAAAGGAAGCATTCTGACTGTGTCTGTTTGATGGTATATTGTGAGTTAAATTTTGATTGTCTAGTACATAATTTGATGAGATTCATTTAACACAGAAGGGTAAGTTTACATAAATTAGGTGGAAAAGTTAAGAATGTAATTTGATTTGAAATGTATATCATGAAAAGCTAAGTACAGCCGGGCGGTGGTGGCACAAGCCTTTAATCCCAGCACTTGGGAGGCAGAGGCAGGCGGATTTCTGAGTTCGAGGCTAGCCTGGTCTACAGAGTGAGTTCCAGGACAGCCAGGGCTACACAGAGAAACCCTGTCTCGAAAAACCAAAAAAAAGAAAAGCTAAGTACAATTTTGTGAGAAAAATACAGAAAAACATCGAGAGATTTGAAGAAGTCAAAAGACACACAAGTTTGTGGATAAACCAGCTTAATATTTTAATTGTTCCAGAAGGGTTTTTCAAATGATTTGATTTCTAGTCAAGAATAGGCAAGGCAATTTTGGAAAATAGATGGAAGAACCTGCTCTACCAGAGGACGCTCACGAGACTATAGTATGGTTTCAGCAAATGAAATTCTGTAGCACAGTGGTTTATACTCACCAGACTAGCTTTATGACAGGGTATGGGAAGTGGTTAGCAAATTAATTAGCTGGAGGAAAGTTTGGAGCTTCCGCAGTGGTACTGGGAAATGGATTTATCACCTCAGAAAAGTAAATAAAGTTGAATCTCTATTTTGTTTACTTCTTATTTAAATTTGCTTTTTTTCTGGTGGTAGGTATCAAATGCAGGGCTGTATTTATGCTAGGCAGGACTAAGCTACAACCCCAGCCCCAGCCTTAGATCTCTTTCTTAAGCTCCGTGCAAAAGTTTAATTCTAAGTGAGTTGAAAGATATAAAAATAAAAATAAAAGTATATTAAGGAAAATACCTTTAGCATAAAACCTGCAAATTATGTTTATGACTTTGGGTTACGAATGAATTTCTTAAACAAGGCCTAAAAATACTAAACAGACAAGCAAGAAAATCCTAAGCGACAACAAACAAACAAAAAAAGATTTTGAAGAATGGACTGTGTTAAAATGTGCTGCTGTTCCACTTTTGCGGGGGGGCAGAGTAGCTTCAGTTGTGCTGATCTTCCTGCTGATGACAATTAGAACTGTTGAGAACAGTTATAAAGTAGTGTGGAGTCTTGGAGGATTAGAACCTGGAGAGGTTTGGTCCTTGGATAAGGGAAGAACATGGAGTTAATCCCCCAGAGCACTCCCTAGAGTCAAATAGAAAGTCACAATCTTAATGGCCTAAGGAGACAATGCTAGGAGACCAGAGTTCCTAGAAATAACTCTTGAGTAATGACCATGCCACAGTGGGAAGAGACGCAGGATCTGAAAGTGAACTCCTTCTTGGCTGAACCCTAGGGTGAAGGAGCCTGCAAGTAAAATGGCAGCTGGAAGACTATAGAGCCATACAGAAGTTTCAGCAGCTGCCCACTGCAGAGAAGAAAGTTTTCAGTTTGAAGTCATTGACATAGAGAATCCCAAACTTTCAAGTGAAACTCCTTTAGGATGAAGGGAGTATAGTAAGTTAAGACCATCATACAACAGTGCTAAAAAACTAAAACCAAGCCTCCATATGCTAAGACAGATTGCTAATGCTAATTTGCGTCTTATAACCTATGGTGGTTTCTTAGGCTCCTATAATTGAATGCTTAGTCACCAGGGAGAGAAACTGTTTGAGGAGGATAAGGAGGTATGGTTTTGTTGAGGTAAATGTGGCCTTGTTGGAGGAATTGTGTCAATGAGACTGTGCTTTGACATTTCCAAAGCCCACACCAGGACCATTGTCTGTCTGTCTGTCTCTCTGTGTCTGCCTGCCTGTCATCTGTGGATCAGTTTATAAAGCTCTTAGCTACTACTCCAATGCCGTACCTATCTGGTTCTTGCAATGATGATTGTGGACTAAATCTCTAAAACTGTAAGCCAGCCCCCAATTTAAATTGCTTTCTTTTATATTTGAGTTTGTGATGATGACTACTCACAGCAATAGGATAGTACCTAAGGCAGAAGTCAGTGCTAGGGATGGAGATACTGCTAAGACAAGCCTGACCATGTTGTTTGTTGGAGGAATATGGAAGACTTAGGGACTTGGACTATAAAAGTGGTTGAGTTCTCTAAGTGGGCCTCCCTGGGCTCCTTGTAGGAGACGGAAGACAGCAGTGCCGAGGATCATTTGGACTCTGCAGCTCAGGAGGCTGTAGAGAGGATGATTATGAACAGCTGACCTGGAGACCATTTCTTGTGACATTTTGGCAAAGAATGTGGCTACTTTTCACCCTTGTCCTAAAAATATTCCCTAGGCTAAATTCAAGAGTTTTGAATTTGATGGGGTTGGCAGAGGAGATTTCAAGAGAGCCTAGTATTAACTGTGTTATGTGGTCACATAGTTATGACCATGCTTGTGCATATCTATGTTGAAAAGCAACAAGTGAAGCAAAGGGAAATACAAAAGGTTTAGTTTGAGGAGAATCGGAGCATGGGGTGGGGGGAAGAATGCAATGCTTGGGCCGGTAAAGAGATTAAAGCCAAATGCTAAATGGAATAAAGGGAGTGGTGACCTCAGGGCAAAACCACACCCAACCAACCCCGCAACCTGTAAAGGAAAAAGCACTGAAGGATCTTCTAGGCCTAAACACTTGAAGGCTTATTCAATGTAATTCAAGGAGGGGTCAGGTCCCAGGCCTAGCAAACAGAAGAACTTGGCAGCTTTAGCCATGCTACTCTGGCTTTAGGGCTAATGAAGATACAGGAGTAAAATGCTTGTTGAGAAAAGCCACTGAGGCAGAACTCAGGGGAGTTCTGCATGGATGCCTGGAGAAGCCATTACGTGAAGCTGGGAAGGGAAAGTCTGGATTGTGTTGGAGATCCCAAGATGTTGGAAATGCCAGAGCCCTGGGATACCTGGCCAGGAGAGCTGCTGACAGACTGTGGACCATCACAGAAGAGAGTACCATGTGCCACAGACAACAAAGCTGAGAGGAGACTGGAAGAGTCTAATAACAGAATTTGGAGTTTGCCCAGCTGCTTTCGTTCTTGCTTTGGTCCAGTATTCCTTCACTCTGCTCCCTTGATTCCTTTTGTCACGGTAATGAGCATTCTGAGGCATTATAGTGTGTGATCTGCTGTCATCCTAGTAGCTTAGAGAAAGACCAGAAACACAGCAATGGCTGAGTACCTGGATAAGACTAAGGGGCAGTGACTTCACTGAAGGATTGTATCTTTCACAGGAAGCTTTGGTTTGAAATTTGAGTTTGTACTTCAAATTATTCCTACAATGAAAGAGTTGTGTCTCTTAACCCAGTAAATGTCTTTCCTTCTCTCCTGTTACAAAACAGTAATGTAATTATACACATGTTTATTATCATGGGGTTACACATTAGGCTATTCTTCATGTAGGAGATTAGATTCAGTTGTTTGAGGAGCTTTGTGCCCACGTGGATATGGTGGTATAGATCGTGTGCCACGGTCATGCCCCAAACACCTGATTTTCAAGGTCTGTGAATTCAAGTGGAAAATGCGTTCGGGGAAGGTCATGTGAATTGGGCACATGAGCAGAATAGTAGTGTTTCCTCTTTTGAAAAAAGGAGTTTGGACTATGGCAAGACAGATCAAGGTTGTGTTAGGTCCATTTAAGGAAAGCAGAGATTCTTCTGTCTTGTTCTGTCTTAGTTTCATTTACTGGTTCCCTTTTCATGTTTCCTGTGTAACTCAAGATTAACTGTCTTCAGAAAAGCTTTGTGGTCAAGGTCTTGCGGGCCTGTGTTTTTATGATTTCACTCCTAGCTAGCTCTAAGTTTTCTAGTGATAGGAAAGGCTGCTAAGAGTCAGCAGGCTCAATGGGAGACCTTAAAATGGATCTCCCATCACTTACTTGTTTAGCAATGGAAAATTGTCACTTCACCAGAGTGCCTGCCCATAACTTTAGAGTTGTCATATCTGTTTATCCTGCTAGACACTAAGCCTGGCCCCATTTAAAATGCATTGTTTTTAATGCTTATAATTTTGATTAATTAATTGATTATTTTTAATTTATTTTATTAATTGATTTTCATTAATACAATTAATCTTATTATTTTAATTAATTGATATAACTTAATTTTAATTAATTGATGTAAACTGTTTTAATTAACTGGTTAATTTAGCTGTTGCGTTTTCTTACTGTCTCAGTACATCCTTAGGGTGTGCTCTTTTCTCAGGGTGTAGACCCTCGCCTAGCTTTCTGTTAGAGCTGAGAGTGAAGCTGCCCACTGGGGTGCTGTTGTTAAAGGGCACCTCTGAGTTTCCCCAGCATCTCATCTTAGGTGCACAGCATTCACACCTACCCTGGGGCCTCCATCCCAACTTGATGTATCAGCTGACCTTCTCTTTTGAGTCATAGTCATCAGGGTCTTTCCTTGTTAACTTCAGATGCTGGGATAAAAAAAAAGGCAGTGTCGCACCAAGCAGTCAGTCCCTCCAGCCTGAGTAATAAATAGCCTGGATCATTTTGTGTTTGTTTGTGTAAATTGTGATCCATGCACCATAGAACCTTTAGAGACAGGAGCTTCAAGTCAACAGAAAAGACCCCGGGGGCAGTTGTTAGCATTATCTCTAGACTCCACCCAACAGTTATCTTGCAACTGCCTGGTACCAGGTAAGAGCCTGGCTCCATATAAAAAGGACTCTCCATCCCCCTCCTCCTTCCTCCACCTCCCTTCCTTACTCCTTCTCTATTCTCTCTTTCCATCGTTCTACTCTCCCAGCCTCTCTTCCTCATGTGTCCGCAGCCTGCCTTTCCCCTTCTTTCTCTCTTCCTCTCTGCTCTCTCTCTCTCTCTCTCTGTCCTTCTCTATCCCCCTCCTTCCTCTGCCTCTACCCCCTCCTCCAGATCCCAGATAAACTTCCT